TACTTCGATTTTTCACTTGAAAGTACACAATAAGTTTGCAGTACATTTGCACTTGTTTCTAAACAAAAAGTTTGTTTACGTATTGCCATAAATGTCAAAGTCGGCAAAACTAAAGTAGCGGTTTCGGGAATGCGCCACCTTCAGTTCATTTCCCCATGGGTTTGAAGCAACGTTTAAATATAAACGGAGCTTTTCAATTAAAAGTTGCTTGAGAAAACGGCCACTAAAGGAGGAATCACAATGAAAGTATCACTTGTAATAAAAAATTTACAAACTTAAAAAACTGACGCGCAGCTACACGGAGACATTGGTTGCGTTCATAAGACGTAGCTATTTAGCTCATCTGCTGCGAAACTGCTGGCAACTGTTGAACCCAACAATTACGCCTTAGAAACGGCTTGATGAATATGCTGCCAAATGAACAGCTGTTAAATGTAAGCAAATGAAATTGAAACGCATAGCGATAGTTGCGCCGATACTATTTAGAATTCAACCCTGAGCGGCCGCTGTGTTGAAAAAATCGTTCAATGTTACAATGAACTAAACAGTGTAAAATTATATAGCAAACATCTTAAAACCATATATTTAGAAACGTAGTATTATTATTAAATATTTTAGTTACTTTACCACGTCAGTAATATAAAATATTGTTACGATTATCCTTGAACCCTCGTCCGGATTTCCCAAACCTTCCGGTTCGTATCGCTGGATTGTTAAATAAAGGCTAACGATGACCAAATGGTAGTACAATTAACTTTATTGTACAACAAACAATTTTACAATACTTGCTAATACAGTAAAAACACTACAATACTTGTTAAAGCAATTACAACACTTTACTGAACTTGTTACACACAATTAAACTTATAGCTTGCTTATTCGCAACTCGCTTCTCTGCTCACTTTACTTGTAGCTTGCTGACTTGTAACTAACTCACCTCGCGGTGGCGGCGCCCTTATATACCTGCGCTGGTACTTATGGCAACTCTAGAACATTCTCATTCGCTCATTCTCTTTCTCTCGCTGTTCGCAGTGTTCATCCAACTTGACGTTTCTCTTTGTGGAACATTCTACGTCATTCCTCGAACATTCTGCCTATTTCTC